GGTGGCCCAGGGGATAGGGCACTGTCCCTGGAGTTAGGAGGTCTTGAGGTTAAATCTGGCCTCAAGACACCTGAAACTTACTAGCTGTGTGACCCTGGGCAAGTCACTTAACCCATTGCCTAGCAAAAAAAACAAAATAAAACAAAACAAAAAATGAAAGGAAAAGAGGGAACTCTCAATCTCCCCAAATCATTGGTTAATAATCATTTCTCTCAGGGGTGATGGCAATAAAAGGAGTGTGAAGGAATAGGTTGTGGGAATTGAGCATATGGAAAACTGGGAAGTTAGGATATTTGAGGGAATATCAACGTGTTTACCGAAGTCCTTTTAGTATGAATGAGGCCTGGAATTGGGGTAGAGAGGGAGATTGTGATCCAGGCACTGAACTTATGGAGAAAGCAGGAAGAAATATGTGGGGGTTGGTAGCTAACAGTCTCCAGGATCCTGACTGGTTGATAAATTTGGAGAGAGTAAACCTCAAAGGAGGAGATGGTTGCTTGTGGTAGAGGGGCTTGGAATACTTCTTGCTCTTCACTGTCTCTTCCAGACTGTGATTATGGGGAATAAGGAGCATGGTAAGTCCTCTACAGGGCTTAGTGAATCCTAGAATGTGAGAGAAGGTTTCATCATACTGGAAAGGAAGGCACCAGGTTTCAGTGAGAACTAGAAGATAAAAAGAGAATGAGGGAAAGAGGTCTAAAATGAAGGGAAGTTTGTTAACTCTAAAGTGGGAGCTGGTATGAAGTAGGACAGTGGGGAAGGGGTATATGAGTAAGCAGAAGATAGAGAGGCAACCTTATCAGAACAAAGAATTTTAGGAAACTGCACTTAATCTTTTGTTGGGATGACTTGTCTCGGATACTTTCCATGGATACTGATTAGGAAGAAATTACAGAAAAATGTCATTTTGAAGACTGTCATAGAAGTTTTTCAAATCTACCAGACTTTTTGCAGTTCTTAGTTGTGGAGAACATGGGAATGAAAAACCAGAAAAGAGTTTGAGGGATCTGCATATAAAGTAATGGAATTTATCACCTACTGTCGCCTATTTTGGCTGGATCCAGAGAATTCCCCTTACCTCTCCCCCCCTGCTGTTTGGTCAGGTTCCTTTGCTCAGCACAGTGTATAGAGCGCTGAGCTTTCAGTGAGGAAGATGAGTTCAAAATCAGCCCCAGTCACTTAATGTGATCCTGGGCAAGTCACTTAACCTCTGTTTCCTTCAGTTGCCTCAGCTGTAAAATGGGAATAATAATTACCCCTACCTCTCAGAGTTGTTGTAAGGATCAAATGAGATAACATATGGAAATCACTTGCCTTTCTTTTTTATGTCAGTGGGAGTGAATCTAGTTACCCCTAAGTAAATTAAGTTTCTTCGATCAATCAACTCCAGCCAGAAATTTTAGCAATGAGTAAAGAAAAGAATCTGATCTATGCGGGGGTTGGCAAACTACAACCAACATAGGGGTTTTGCTAACCTCTGGTCAATAGAACACTAGACTAAACGGTGGATAGGCTTGTTTGTTTGTTTGTTTCAGTTTTAGTTCCTGTTGTAATCGATGTGGGTTGAAGTCAGTCATATATGACTGACCTGTTGATTCATTTCACAAGAAAAGAGGATAATATAACCTTGTGTCTATCTATCTACCTAAGTACCTCATAATATGACTTGGAAATATTATTTCTGTGTCATACTTTGTACTCCTTGACAGAAAGATATTGCATAAATACAAAGAATATAAAGTATTATGACAATAAGACAGTTGCCAAGAGAGGCTGTCAGAAAATCACAAGATAGAGAAGACAGCTTGCAGAGGAAAAGAAAGGAAACAAATATATCTAGACATTTTCCCCTTACCATTTGAAATGGAACATTTCTCTTTCTCGAGTGATATATACATCCCTGAGAATGACTGAGCATATCTCTCAATAACTACTTCTATGACTAGACACATTTAATACTTCATTCATCCTGCCATCACACTGGACGCACAAGTTGTATATGTCTATGTACTATCTCTTAAGTCTTATGGTGGGTTAGCTATCTGAAATAAAAGGTGCCTCCTTCCTAGGTCATGTAGGCTAGATATTATTAGAATCATTTATTATTTATTTATTTTTTTAAAACATCCTTTTTAAATTTTGAGTTCCAGATTCTCTCGCTCCCTCCTAGCCTCCCCCACAAAAGACAACCAATATATCAGTTTTACATGTGAAATCAGGCAGAACATTTCCATATTAGCCATACTGTGAGAAAAAAACCAAAGTGAGAAAATTATACATCAGTTTGCACTCAGAACTCACCACTTCTCTCTTTGGAGGTGCATAGCATTTTTTTATCATGAGTCCTTTGGCATTGTCTTGGATCAATACATTGATTGGAGTAGCCAAGTCCTTCACAGTTGATCATCACTGCAACATTACTGTTACTGTGCACAATGACCTCCTGGTTCTTCTCACTTCACTTTGCATCAGTTCATATAGGTTCATATGTTTTTCCTGAAGCCACACTGTTCATCATTTCTTATAGTACAATAGTACTCTATCAGAATCGTGTCACAATTTGTTCAATTGTTCCCAATTGATGAACATCCCATCAATTTCCAATTCTTTGTCACCACAAAAAGAACTGCTATAAATATTCTTGTATATATAGATTATTTTCCTTTTCGCACTTAGGGGGCATCATTTAGCTCTTGCATAGGGGACAAACTCTGTCCCTATTAGTGGCAGCACCTGCAGCAGGGTTCAACCTATTCCAAAGGGGCACCACTCAGGCTCCTCCATGGATCTGCCACAAATAGCATTCAGTCCCCCAAAGTGACCATGAGTTCAGTGTTCTATCCCTAGGACAGAAGCACAGTAGCACTACAAATACTACCCAGAAGTGGTCTTTGGGCCCCAGACCGCGGGTGGCTGGGTTGTGTGTAACACTCTGCCCTGGCATGAGGGGCAGCGCTAAGGTCCCAGCGCAGAAGGGAAGCACTTGGCCCTAGAATAGGGGAATGTTGCTAGGTCCCACAGTAGGGCAGAAGGCAGTATTTGGCCCCAGGAGGGTGGATAGTGGAAAGGGGCAACAGGTGAATCTCAGTAGGCAACTGATTGGCTACGTGCAATGAGAGTGAGGGATGGGGGATGACTTCGAGATTGTGAACTTGGGTGACTGGAAGGATGATGGTATCTCTCTCTCATTCTTTGTAAATAGTATTTAATTTTTTCCGATTACATGTAAAGATAGTTTCCAACATTCTTTTTTTTTTTTTTTTGGCTAGGCAATGGGGTTAAGTGACTTGCCCAGGGTCACACAGCTAGTAAGTGTCAAGTGTCTGTCAACATTCATTTTTTATAAGATTTGAGTTTCAAATGTTTTTCCCTCCCTTCCTTCCTGCCTCCCCAAGACAGTAGGCAATCTAATATAGGTTATATATATGCATCCATGTTAAACATATGTCCACATTAGTCATGATATGAAAGAAGAGACAGAACAAAAGGGAAAACCCATGAAAAAAGTGAAAATGGCATGCTTTGATCTGCATTCAGACTCCATAGTTCTTTCTCTGGATGTGGGTAGTATTTTCCAGCATGAGTCTTTTGGAATCGTCTTAGATCATTGCATTGCTGAGAAGAGCTAAGTTTATCATAGCTGATCATAGCACAATGTTGCTCTTACTGTGTACAATGTTTTCGTGGTTCTGCTCACTTCACTCAGCATCAGTTCAAATAAGTCTTTCCAGGTTTTTCCAAAAATCTGTCTGTTCATCATTTCTTATAGAACAATAGTATTCCATTCATATACTGCAAGTTGTTCATTCCCCCATCAAAGGACATTCCCTCAATTTCCATTTCTTTGACATCACAAAAAAAGCTACTATAAATATTTTTGTACAAATAGGTCCTTTACCCTTTTTTTAATGAGATGATAGTATCTTCTAAAAAGAAATGGAGAAGTTCAGAAGAGGGGTGGGCTTTGGGAGAAAGGTAGCGAACTCTGTTTTGTACATATTGAGCTTGAGATACCTATGGATCATCCCATCATAAATGTCTAATGAATAATTGGTGGCATATCCCTGGAGCTTAGAAAGAGACCAGGCTAGTTACACAGGTCAGTCAGTTAATAAACATTTATTAAGTACCTACTTTGTGCCCAGCACTGTGCTAAGCATTGGACTTCCAAACATGAGTCTGGAAGTCATCTGCACAGAGATAACAATGGAATTCTTAGAAACTGATGAAGTCACCGAGAAAGATTGTAGAGAAAGTATAGAAGAAGACTTTGTACAAAACCTTGGGGTACACTCACAGTTAGGGAGTAGGATACGAATGATGATCTAGAAAAGGTAACACCAATTGTTTTTAATTGTATTTAATCTATGTTTCATTGATGTTTCTGTGTTTATTTGTATTTAATCTATGTTTTGTTGCTGTTTAATTTAACAAAAAAGTCAACATGTATATTGTTCTTTTTTTTATTCTATTTCACTTCATATAGCAAAAAACCTATTATTTTTACCTTTTGTAAGAACCTTGATAAAAACACCTTACACTTACACTTTTCTTCCAACAATCCTGTGAGTAGTGATGGTATTACAACCCCCATTTTACAGATTAAGAGATTGAGGTTCAGAGAAAACTTACCTGGGAACACACACGTAGTCAAGTCTTTTGATTCCAGTGCAAATGCTCTTTCCACTGACTACAACATACTTCTTCTTGCCATGAACCCTTAAAAAGCTTTTTAATCATACTTCAGATTCTCCTAGGCACTTATTTCCTTAGGACTTACATTGTGATAATGAGCATTGATGGGATAATCTTTCCTAATATAACTGTAACAGGAAAGGATTGAAGTGTAAGATATTTAGTGGATGCCACTTCTGCCTTTTCTCCTACCCCACATGGAAATCTTTTTTTAAAAGACAATATACCATTATTTTATAATAACTGGATAGTGATAAAACATTTGTATTACTTAACAGTGTTTTGTTTTGACTTCTTCCTTCTAGAGGGAGAGGAAGATGAGGATGAAGAAGTGGAGGAGGAGGAGGAAGAAGAAGAAGAGGAAGATAAAGACGAAGACTCCTTGGATGAAAGCATGGAGGGTGACACTGAGCTGCCTGGGTTTACTCTCCCTGGTATTACTTCCCAGGAACCCAGGTTAAACAGGGGAAACTTGGAACCATTGGAAGGAGTATCATATCAGGTTCCAGATGCTATTGAATGGGAACAGCAGAATCAAGGCCTTGGTAAGAGCAACTTTTTCTAAATCTTTTCTGTCTAAATGACATCTCTCCTTTTTATATTAATGACAAATGAAAATACAAATATTTTGATTTTGTGTTGTGAAACTGGATTGATCAATAAATCACTTAAGAAATCAAAACAATATTAATCAATAAATAACAGCCCATTTGGGGAAAGTTTAACCATTGCTTTACTTACTCTTTATGTTTTTGTGCTCTGAATTAATTTGACATTGATTTCCTTATCCTACCAATTGATCATTTATTATTTGAAATCCAGAGAAGATTCCATTCATCCTTTCTACACAAAAGAGTTTCAGGAGAAAGAAGCCTTCTGGAAGGGGAAAGGAAAATGACTTCTTAATTGAGCTGGTATCTACTGAAATTCACTGGTATTTGTTTCAAAGGGGGCTGGTGATGAACGATATTTGATGTATAGCATTGAGAAAGATTAGGGCTATAGAAAATTATTGCTCTAATGAGAAGATATTTAGCTCAAAAACTTTCTTTGGATCTTATTTGGTGAATCTCCTAAGCCATTTTGGTGTGAAATTTGAAAGTGAATTTGATGTTTTTGCCATAGAACATTGGTTAGTTCCTTTGCCTTGGTTGTAGGGAATTTTGTTAGTGAAACTCACTTTATATTGAGGTGGTTGATGATATTAGGGATGGTTGTTCCATATTACATGTCCGTGGATACATCCATGTTCAGGATACATAATTTCATTGGTGTGGGTATGATTTTGATTGGTTCAGATCACAAACTCTCCACTCCATAGTAGAGAACTAGTGTTCTTTACAAGTTTAACCCTGCCTGTGCTCCAGCCTGGGGTGGTTCTGCTGCTGGACAACCTTATAACCCACATGCTTCCCTCCTGCAGCCTATTTGGGGAGAGGAAAAGGCAGTATCACTGCCAAGGCTGGGCAGTCTCTCCTCCAGCTTCCAAGAAGGGTATCAGGCTAGACATATATATATAGATCTGCCATCCCTTAGACAGCTCTGGTCTAGGGGCAGGATATGTTCAGAATGAAAGACATTTTCCTGATTGCTATTAAGAAGGAGGATGGTCCTTGGCTTATAGCTTAGTCCCTTTCCAAACACTGATCAAACAAAACACCAAAACAAGGATCAAATAGTGAGCAAACTAATTTCTCCTAGAAAAAATTTCTACCTAGAAGAATGGCAAACAGAAATCAGGGAAGTTTGACATATCAGAATTACCAAAGAATGCAGATGATTAATGAGCCCTGCCCTTGAGCTGGCTGAGATAAGATCTCACCCAGAGAAAGGCCACTTTTGGCAACTGCTAGAATTGCAAGCCCTACAGATTGGGAAAGGGGGTAATCAGAAGGAAATACTCCTGAGGAGGGACAGGGTTAAAAGAAAGAATAGAGGGCAGGATAGGATTAAGGGAAACAGAGTTAGTTTTGCACAACATGTCTACTATGGAAGTGTTTTGCATAACTGCACGTGTATAACCTATATTGAGTTGTTTGCCTTTTCAATGAGGGTGGATGGGGAGGAAGGAAGAGAGAAAATTTGAAACCTAAAGTTTTAAAAACATATGTTTAAAAAAATGTTTTCACATGCTACTGGGAAATAAGAAATACAGGAGATGGGGTATAGAAGTCTATCCTGCCCTACAGGAAAATAGAAGGGGAAGGGGATAAGAGAAGTGGGGAGAGATAGAAGAGAGGACAGACTAGGGTAAGGGATATTCAGAATGCATGCCATCTTGGGGTGGTGGGAGGGGTGAGATGGGGTGAAAATTTGGAACTCAAAAACTTGTGGAAGTGAATGTTGAAAACTAAAAATAAATAAATTTATATTAAAAAAAAAGAATTGCAAGCCCTATAAGTTAAGGGGCATGATGGGACTGGTTTCCCTTATATGTCATGAGACTCTGAGGACACCAGTCCACCATTCAAAAGTTTACACCTCATCTCTCTTGCTGTCATTCAACTGTTTGCCTGGAGGTTCTTTCTCGAAATGTATACACAATCAGCGGAAGTAGGTCTAGTCTCCCCTCATGAAATATCATGGATCAGCATTCTCTCAGCCATTCAGAAGTCATACCTTTCTCTGCTTCTGCAGCACACAGTTCTCAGAGCTGTCCTTTGTTAAAAGTTCCCTAGGCTTGGGTAGAAGAAGAGTTATATAAGGTTTCCTGAAAAAAAAATCACCAACTTGTGCTCAATCTTCTCTGGATCAGCCTTTCCAACTTCAGCTCTCTTGTTCCTTGGATGTCAGACAAACGGTATAAATCTTGACAGCTTGGTAGGACCTGTGAGACCTCTGCTGATTTTGTTTTTAAGAATCCAGGGGGACCTCCAAACCCAAATGAAACAGAGCAGGAGCACTTTGGTACTGACTCTGGATATTTTCATCGGCTGTTTCCCATGCCTGGAACTTTGTCCTTCTTTATATCTGTCCCCTGCCTTCTCTGACCCCTTCAAGTTTCAGCTAAAGTCCCACCTTCTGCAAGAAGCTTTTCCTGGTCCTGCTTAATCTTAATGCCTTCCCTTTGAGATCAACTCTAATTTAGCTCATCTATATCGTGTACTTATGTGCATATTACCCTCCCATTAGAACGTGAGCTCGTTGAGTGAAGGAACTGCTTTTTTCTTTTTTGCTTTGCTTTGTGCTTAGCACAGTACCGGTTCATAATAGGTACCTAATAAATGCTTGTTGACTTGACTTGACTCATGGTCTCCTTTGTCAGTCTGGTGAAGTCTATGGATTCTTTCTCAGAATTATATTTTTAATTGCATAAAATACATAGCATTAAAAACCAATTGTATTAAAATATAGTAGTCAAAATATTAAGAAAAGATTCTTGGACATCAGGAACCTTTCATCTAAATAATACTCTGCTACTTGTGACTCCTTACTGTTTTAGACTGGTTCTTGTTGATATCTATTCTTTGGGACCCCATTTGGGGTTTTCTTGGTAAAGATACTGGAGTAGTTTGCCATTTCCTAATCCAGCTCATTTGACAAATGAGGAAAGTGAGGCAAACAGAATTAAGTGACTTGCCTAGGGTCACACAGCTAGTAAGTGTCTAAGGCCAGCTTTGAACTCAGGAAATCTTCTTGTCTCCAGGCTTGGCACCACCTAGCTGCCAATAGGTGTTAGCAGCATAGAAAATGCTAGACTTCCAAACATTATTCAGTGTGATGGAATGTCAGGGCATTTTGGTTTAAAACACGTTAGTCTCCAGACCAAAAATTCCTAAGAGACCTGTCACAGGGATTAACTACACAGGGGAAGGGAATAAACGTTTATATAGCACCTACTATATGCCAGGCACTGGGCTAAACCCTTTACAAATATCTCATTTGATCCTCACAACCACCCTAAAGTAGGGTCTATTATTATCCTGATTTAACAGCTGGGGAAATTGAGGAAAAGGTAGTTTAAGTGACTTGCCCAGGGCCACACAGCTAGTAAGTGTCTGAGGCTTGATTTGAACTCAGTTTTTCCTTACTCCAGGCCCAGCACTTTATCCATCGCATCCCTCTCCCTCAGCAGTGCTGTATGGAGGAATGAGCAAAGAGCTCTATAACGTACTTGATTAACGATCACGCAGCTTCAACCTGAAGACCTTCAGTGATGGTGAATTCACTACCTCTTAAGGAAGTCTATTACATTTTGTCATTTTGGGATAGCTCTAATTATGAGAAAGCTTTTCCTTATATTGAGTTGTTAACTGCTTCTCTGAATCTTCTACCCATTTTTTCTAGTTCTGTCCTCTGGGGACAGTCAGAACAAATCTGCTAGCTCTTATACAGGACAATCCTTTAAATATTTGTAGGGCGGCCTTGTCCCCATCCCTGACTCTTCTTGTCACTATCTATCCCTAGTTTGTTCAAGCCAATGAAATTATGCCATGATTTTAAGTGTCCACACCACCATGGTTACTCTCCTTTAGATTTTTTCCTGCTTGCTGATATCTTCTAGAATGTGATGCCCAGAAATGATTACAATACTCTGGATGTGGTTTGACCAGGAAAAAGTGCCATGGGATTATTACCTTCCTTGCTTTTGTCACTATATTTCTGCTAATGCCACCTAAGATCATGTTAGCTTTTTTGGCTTCTGTATCATGCCCCTGATTCTTATTAAGTTTGTAATCCAATAAAACCCAGATATTTTTCACATGAACTGATTTATAGCTACTCTCCCATCCTTCTTCTTGTAAATCATTTTGAATAGAGGAGCTTGGCTTGGAATTTAAAAGGGATAAATGTAATCTTCTTAGCTGTAGCCCAGTGTTCCAGTTAAGATCTTTTGTGACTCAATTCTTTCAATCCAGGGCTAGTTATCACTTCTAGCTTTGTGTCATCTGAAAATTTGAAAAGCATACTATGGTCTTTTTTTGATGAAAATGTTGAACAGAACCAGTTGAAATGCCCCCCAAGCTTCCATATAGTCTGTGCTGGTACCAGGAGGCAATATGTTCTAAGGAATGATTTCTGTAGGTCAATTTACCCATTTTATAGATGTATAAGGACATCATTCTATGTTAACGGAGGATTTTTTTTTTAACTAGGCAATGGAGTTTAGTGACTTGCCCAGGGTCACACAGCTAGTAAGTGTCAAGTGTCTGGGGGCGGATTTGAATTCAGGTCTTCCTGACTCCAGGGCCAGTGCTCTATCTGAAAAATCTTTAAAATGAAATTCAGAAAATTCAGATTTCTAAGACCCAAGACTTATTTTCCTGAATTCAAATCTGGTCTCAGACACTTATTAGCTGTGTGACCCTGGGCAAATCATTTAACTCTGTTTGCCTCAGTTTCTTCATCTTTGAAATGAACTGGAGAAGGCAATGGCAAACCACTCCAGGATCTTTGCCAAGAAAACCCCAAATGGGGTCATAGAGAGTCAGACTCGACTGAAATGACTGAACAACAAGAAGACTGAGAAGAGAATTTAAATGGAATATTTCTGACATGCCCAAGGCTGTTGTGATTTATACTTCCTACCTCTGAGTCCTTGTGC